CAGTCATTTTCATTGTTTTTTATTCTATATGGCTTCCCTCCTCTCTCCTTTCCTAGTCACAGTGCCCCCATTATCCCCACCCTCCCTGCAATACCTCCAGACTCCCTCCAGACTCTCTCAATCTCAAAGAGCTCTGCCTGCCTCTGCCTCTTTCCTCTCCTGACTTCCCTCCCTCCCCAACGCCATGGTCCCTTGTATGTCCCTCCCTCCTCTCCTCCTTGCTGATTCCTCCAACTTTCCCACCTCCCTTAGGTAACATCTATTCCTTACTATCCCCTTTTCAGGTTGTTTCTTGTCCTTTACCTCCATGTATCCTTTCCCTTTACCTGGCTCCTAGTGTTACATCAGAATTTATATACTCACATACAAGAGATTGGTGCTACAATCCACAAATGAGGGAGGACATACATCACTTGCTTTTCTGGGTTTATGTTACTTCACTTAGTGTAACACCCTCTAGCTCCATCCATTTACCTGCAAATTTCATAATTTCATATTTTCTTACTGCTGAATAGAACTCCATTGTGTAGATGGACCACATTTCCATTAACCATTTGTGATATTTAGGGACATTTAGACTGTTTCCACTTCTCAGCTATTGTGAAGACAGCAGCAACAAACATGAATGCACAAGTATTTTTACAGTATTGTTGCACTTAATTTTTCCCTTCTCGCTCTGTTTGACCCGCCCTCACCTTATCAGGGTCGTGGTCCTGATGCGGATCAACAAACTGGCATAACACATTTTTATCTGAATTTTGTACAGTTTATACATTTGGGAGGGGAGGGGATGACTTACAAGTGCGATGGCCAGTCATTCCTGATTGCTTTTGTGCCCAGCCCCCACATGCCATCTCACCCCATGGTCTGACTCATCTTATGACCATGCATGCAGACTCGCCCAGCAGAGTTCTCACAGGGCTGTGCAGGCTGGTTCCCCTCCTGCTCTGAGTTTTGTTATTTCTTCTCATCTATTGTGTTTTGGGTTGGTTTTTCCTTGACTTTGTAGAGTCTTGAGTTGTACTGTCAAGTTGTTTACATGTGCTTTTTCTGATTTTTTAATGTAGGCACTAAGAGCTATAAACTACCCTCTTAGGACTGCTTTTAGGGTGTCACAGAGGTTTTGTTGTTTTCTCATTTACATTTTGTTCCAGGAATACTTTTATTTATTTTTCAATTTCTTCTTTGACCTATTCATGATTCAGGAGTGTGTTGTTTAACCTCCATGAGTTCATGTATTTACTAGAGCTTCTTTTGCTGTTGATTATAAGCTTTATTGCACTGTGATCTCATAGAAGGCATGGAATTATTTCAATTTTTTTGTATTTGTTGAGATTTGTTTTATGCTTTAGAATAACTTGCATGAGCTGCTGAGTAGAAAGTGTATTCTTTGGTGGTTGGGTGGAATATTCTGTATATATATATATTAGGTCCATTTCATGTTGTATGTCATTCAATTCAGATGTCTCTCTGTTTATTCTTTGTCCAGTTGTCCTATTGAAGAAAGTGTCATACTAAAGTCGCCCACTATCACTGAGTTGGTATCAATCTCTGTTACAGTCCTTGACTACTGATTTTATGAAATTGAGTGCTCCAGAGTTTGGTGCATAAATGTGCATGATTGTAATATATTCCTGGTCAATTGTTCCTTTGATTAGAATGAAGTAGCCCTCCTTATCTATTCTGATGAGTTTTAATTTGAAGTATATTTTGTCAGATATTAAAATTGCAACACCTGCTTGTTTCTTAGGGCCATTTGCTTGGAATGCTTTTTTCCATCGTTTCACCTTAAGATAGTGTCTATCCTTGAAGGTGAGATCAGTTTCTTGAAGACAACAAAAAGATGGGTTTTCTTTTTTGATCCACTGCCCCAGCCTGCCCCTGTCTTTTGACAGGGGAATTGAAGCCATTGATATTTAGTGTTATTATTGAAAGGTGTGAGTTATATACTGTCATTTTAATTTCTTTGTGGTCCCATTTTGTGCTTCCATTGATATACCTTTCTTTATTTTCTTTCTGTAGTCTCTTGGGCATATTCATTCCTTTCTTCAGTCCTTTGTATTGCTTCAAGAATTCTCTGTAGTACTGGCTTGGAAGACATGAATTCTTTCAGCCTATTTGTGTCATGGAAATTTTTCTGTTCCACTTCGACCTTGATAGATGGTTTTGCTGGATAAAGTATTTGGGGTTGGCATCTGTGGTTGTTTAGAACTGGGAATACTTTGTTCCAGGATCTTCTGGCTTTCATAGATTGCATTGAAAAGTCAGCTGTAATTCTGATGGCTTTCCTTTATATGTAACTTGTTTTTCCTCTAGCAGCTTTCAGTACCCTCTCTTTATTATGTACATTTAATGTTTTTACTATGATATGTCATGGGGACTTTCTGTTCTGATCATGTCTTAATGGTGTTCTCTGTACTTTTTGAATTTCTATAGGTATATTTTTCCTTAATTTAGGGACGTTTTCTGCTATAGTTCTAGTGCAAATCTGTTCGATGCCATTGGTTTGAGTTTATTCTTCCTGTATGACTATAATATGTAGATTTGGTCATTTCATGTTGTTCCACATTTCTTGAGTATTCCATTCTTGTGCTTTTATGAATTTTGCATAGTCTTTGCTTAAGGAGTCCAGATCTTCAACGTTATCCTCCAGTTTTGATATTCTGTTTTCCATTTCATTCATTCTGCTTGTGAGACTTTCTCCTGTTGTTTCTAGTTAGTTTATTGAGTTTTTCAGTCCTGTGTTCATTTCCATTTGGGGTTTCTTCACTATTTCTATCTCTTTAGTGAATTTGCTTTTCAAATTATGAATTGTTTTTGATAGTTCATTAGTTGCATATTTGTATATTCTTGGGCTTCTGTCAAAAGTTTATGCCTTTCCTCTTTGAGTTCTTTGAGTTGTCTGTGTTTTCTTGAAGTTCTTTGATTATGGTTCTGATTGTTCTTTTAAATTCTGTGTCCTGGGGTTCTACATGTTGTTTCTCTCAAAGGCAACTAACTTTATTAACTTTCTTTTCTCCTTCCTGCCTTCTTCAACCAGTGCCTCTCCACTGGCCTCATCTTTAAAATTACAATTATTTGTTTAGTGGGAGGGGGCATATGGCACAGTTCATAGGTGGAGATCAGAGACAAGTTGTGGAAGTCAGTTCTCTCTTTTGTGGATCTCAGGTCATTAGGCTTTGCAGCAAGTGCCTTTACCCACCATTCCATCTCACTGTCCTCCTCTCTTTAAAAAATATTTTATATATTTTACTTTTTATTTTATGTGTATGAGTATATTGCTTGCATGTATGTAAGTGCACCTGTATCTTGCAGTGCCAGCAAAGATCAGAAGAAGCCATAGGATCCCCTGGAAGTGAAGTTATGAATGGTTGTTAGCTGCCATGTGGGTGCTGGAAACCAAACCCAGGTCCTCTACAAGAGCAGCCAGTGCTCTTAACCACTGAGCCATCTCTCCAGCCTGCTTCCTCTCTTGTGATAAATTATCTATTCTAAAAGACTGACTTACTGAATTTATTGTTTCCTTAGTTTTCCCTTTCTCTTCAAATATCTTTAAAAAGAAGTTAATTTTCACTGCTTATTAGATGCCTCCCCACCATGATGGATTGTATCCCTCTGGAACTATAAGCCAATTAAACTTTTTCTTCTATAAGTTGTCTTGGTCATGGTGTTTTATCACAGCAACAGAAAAGCAATTATTACACCTAAGAGTAGTGAAAAACCCTGTCATAGCTTTTATTTGTATTCATGTTTTGTACACTACATGAACTTGTCACCATGGGAATTTCTGCAATGCTACCTCAGCTTATAAACAATGTAAACAAGCTTACTAGGCCTTCGGTTCCTCTTGTAACCTAAGCACATAACTTTAATCTTTCATCACCCTTCCTTGCTGTTCACCCAGAATAATGTGTGTATTGTGAAAATCATCAAGCCACAACAAGCAGTGAACATTCAAACATTTGTTGGAAACAACTGATTATCCCATTTGTGTTGCAAAGAAGTGGGATTCTATTGACAACATCTCTTTGTGGTTGTGTGTGTTGTTCTAGGGGTCAGATAGGGGAAATTTCCTGGGAAGACAAATTCTGTTTTTCCTTCCCATTCCATGCTAGATATAGGATTTCAATTAGAGAGCAAGGCCTTTGTTAATGTAGCCTGGAAATTACTCATTCCTCTGAAGAGCTTGGACAGCACAGGTGCACCCTGGAAAAGATGGGTGGAGGCAGCTGAGCTGCTTAGGAGAGTTAGCAGAGTGTGGAATAGTGGAGGGTGGCCCAGATGGAGAGGTAGCAGCATCAAGATTGGAAGAAAGCTTCAGGACCTCCAGGCTATTGGCAGAGGTGGGTGCCGGAGTGAAACGCTAATGGATACTGTGGGCGGGGCTTGAATGACGCAGTCTCTTTGTAAGTCGCTCCCTCCCTATCATATAAACCATGCGAAACCCAAATAGAAATGTCTTATGTAGGTCTGTGAGCCTTGGAGCCTCAGAGGGTGGGTGGGTCCCCAAGAAGGAGGAGGGAGGAAAAAGAAAAAAAAAAAAAAATTGGCGAAACAGTTAAAAAGTAGTTCTGTGAGAAATCTGAAGGAACAAGTTCTATGAACAGAAAGATCAAGCTATTCTTGTTCAGACATCACCATAATGTGGCACCACTGAAGTCAGCCTCTCACATACAATGCGGAGAACATCCTGGGTACTGGAGGTAGGCAGATACGCCTTTAAAATATAGCTCCATTTTCAGGTAATGTTGACTTGGAATCAAGTGTAGGGGTGTGGAAAACCTATTTAAAACTTCGAAATAAGGCCAAGGGATGGTTATATGTAATTTTGGAACATTGCTTAACAAATGTTAAATTATTTAGTTCTTTCTTTGGCTTGTTAATATATCTTGGTTTGTTATTCCCTGTCAATTCCAGTTAAGGCTGTTTAAATGTTAGCTTTTAGACTTTTGCCTTATAGAGGTGGAAATGATTTTGGTCTAGTAGGAAATATAGCTCTACGAGCACCTCAACCCAAAAACTGCCGCTGCCTGTAGCTGTGGTTTAGCAACTGTGTGCACAGCAAGGTTGCCTTGTCACCTTTGGAGGGGCTGCATGGTTCTCCAAAGAGTGAATCAAGGGCTCTCCAGCCCAAGGTAAAGAAAATATAGCTCTAAATATTAGTTTATTTTTACCTACACACAATTAACTTCCAGGATATTATAACTTAAATATATTCCATATGTTTGTAACTGGCTGTGACTAACTTGTATATCAGCTATCCTATCTTTCTGCTCTCCTCATTAAAGAGTTAAGTAGATCTTGGAAACATACTCATTCTATGTTCGATTGAGATATCTTTAAATTTTGAAAATTTTATTTTAACAATAATGAGTTAACATCATTCCAAGGGGTTATGTGAACTAGGTAACTGGTAATGCCTTTATTCAAGGTAAAAAATAAATAAAAAGGAATTTTAGAAGATGACGATTTTTGTTTTGGTATAATAGGTTCTATTGAGGTAGAAATATATGATCCACAGAAATCTAAGTTTCAAGAGTGAAGTAGAGGGTTACAAATAAAGCATTTGAAAAAAATTAGTCTTTAGTATATACGTGATATTTAGAGGAAAAAAGCAAGAATTTAGGGACAGATGGGGAGAAAAGCCATCCAGAAAAACTAAGCAAAGAGTTGAGAAGCAGAGCATTTTCAAGGAAGTGGTTAATGTGCAGCTGTGATCCACAGGGCAGCGAAGATAGGAACTGAAAAGCAACAATTGAACTTAGCAACTAAGAAGTATGTGGCAACATAGTAAAACAATTTCCCAGAGGCAGGAAAGGTTAGAAGTCAGATTTGCCAAGGGTTGAAAGAAAATTAGATATGGGAAAATGGATGCTGTAAATAAGATGACTATTTTAAGAAGTTTACATCTAAAGTCTACAATGAATCATAGTTAACAGCTTAAACTTTCTGTCTTCTCATTACACTTGGAATAAAAGTCACCCTGTTATCATGGTCTATGTGTTATTTAATTTTCTGTTGCTGTGATAAAATACCATGACCAAGACAACTTATAAAAGGAAGAGTTTATTTGGGTTTACAGTTCCATAGGGATAAGAGTCTATCCTGGCGGGGAGGCATGGCAACAGAGGCAGCTGGAGCAGAAAGCTGAGGGCTCACATCTTCAAGCACTCACAGTTAAGTGGAGAGATCACAACTGGAAGTGGGACCAGGATACGAACGCTCAAAGCTGCCCCTAGTGACTTACTTCCTCCACCTAGGCCACACCTCGTAAAGATTCCATGACCCTCCCCAAACAGCACCATCAACTGAACAAGTGCTTAAATGCTTGGAACTATGTGAGACTTTTCTCATTCAAACCACCACAGTTGGCTAAGATTCAGATGAATAGAACTTTAATCAGTCTGATTTCTCATACAATTTTACTATGCTCATTAAGCCTCATACCTTTCTTTTCCGAAAATACCACTATTTTTCTTATCTTACGGCTTTGTCTCTGCTACTTGATATACCCTTTCCAGATTTTTCCAAGGCTGATGGAAGATCAATGAAGATATATTGTTCAGATCTCTCTTCAGGAGAATCTACTGTGGGGAGCAGGGCTAATGCTTTCCAGCCTCCACCTCTGCATTCTCTCTGGGTCATGGATCTTAACTATGGGCTGGGTCCAGTCAGTGATAGCACAGTCAATGGGGATGGTCATCTGGGATACTGGAACTCAACCAGTTCTGTTAGTGTCTCCTCTTAGGGGCAGCTTTTGCTTGGGGTGCCTCAGTGGCCTCAGACTTTCTCCTAACTGTGCTACTCTCTCAAGTTCTGATCCAATCTTCCTTCCACTGTCCTTTCTTATGTATCTAAACTGCACTGTGATCTTAAGGCTACCCTGCCTTCTGCTGGCCATGTCTTTTCCTTTCATGGATATTTCTCAGTCTCTTTTATGACTGAATCTGATCCTGTCCTTCAGACCCTTGGAGGACCAAATGCGACATAGGTGGCAACCATTTAACATCTCAGCTCAGATGTCACTTTGCCAGAGACTTTTCAGTTCTACAGCACTCAGCCCCTGCTTACCTCCACCTCTTTCCACATCTTATTTTCTTGCATTGTTGTATCTTTTAATTAAAAAAATTTTGCATGCTATTTTAATGTGAATTATGGACATTTTGAACATTTCACCTTGAAAAGCTTCAGTCTGCATCTCTATAAAGGAGAACATTTTCATAAATGGACAAAAATATTATTAGAATGCCTGACAGAATTAATAATAATTTCTTTGTATCACTGAATTCCCCATTCATATACAAATTTCCTCAATTATCTACATAATGCCTTTTTACAGCTGCTTTACAAACCAGCATCTAAGCCAGGACAACACATTTTCTCTGGCTGTGATAGTCCTAAAATCTTTTAAAAACTAAGTCAGCCCCATTTTTCTTACTTTGACTTGAAGGGCAAGGACAGATGTCCTAGAGGATGTTTTACTTTTTTAGATTTGTCTGATTGTTTCCTTGCAGTGCCTTTTAAAAAAAGTGGTTCCTCTATCTGGTAGATTTTCTTCATTCTAAACTGAAATTCTACCAGTTAAACAATACCTCTTCATTCTCCTCTCTCCTCTCACATGTTCTATGAACTGCCTAGTCCAGGTATCTCCTATGAGTAGATGGCATAAAGTGTGCCTTTCTTTGGTGCTTAGCTTATCACACATAACATAATGGGTTTAACATTCACCCATCGTGTAGAGATATATGGATTTCATTTCTTAAGACCAAATAATACTCCATTATATGAATGTATCATATTTTATTTATCCATTCACCTGTTTCTACGTTTTCACTCTTGTCAATAATGCTATGAATTTGAGGGTTTGAGTTCCTGCTTTCATTTCTTTGGGTATATACTATAGGGTACGTGTGCACAGGAGGTTCTTAGTTTTGGATGTTCTGAAGAACATTTTGGGTGTCTTAAGTTCTGGCTATTATAAATAAAGCTGCTATAAATACTTGCCTTCATTTAACCTTACTTGTAAGAACTTGGTCTTCTTTCTTTAAAAAAAATATTTTATGTATATGTATGCACCTGTACATGGGTTTGTGCATGTGAGTGTAGTCAGGGGAGGCCAGAAGAGAATGACAGATACCCTAAAGCTGGAGCTATGGGTGATTGTGTACCACTTGACATGGGTGCTGAGAACTGATCTCAGGTCCTCTGGAAGAGTAGGAAGCACTCTTAGTTGCTGAGCCGTCTCTCCAGCCCCGTCATTTCTTTCTTTCTTTAAAAGTAACCATATTTAGGGCTGGAGAGATGGCTCAGCGGTTAAGAGCACTGACTACTCTTGCAGAGGACCCGGGTTCGATTCCCAGCACCCACATGGCAGCTTCAAACTGTCCTTAACTCCAGTTCCAGGGGAATCCGAAGCCCTCTTCTGACCTCTGTGGCATTGCATGACATGGGTGCACTCACACAGGCAATACACATAAAATAAAAATATTTAAAAAAAGTAACCATATTTATCATTTTTCTTGTTATTGGGACAAAATGCCCAATGAAAGCAATTTAGGGAAGGGGTTTATTTTGGCTTACAGTTTGAGGGTATGGTTCATCATGGAAGGGAAGGCATGACATGAGACTTGTTGGTCACTCTGCATCTGTGGTCAGGAAGCAGAGAGATGAATAGTGATGCTCAACTCCCTTTTTTTTTTATTCAGTCCAGGATCTCAGCTCAAAGAACGGTACTGGTGCCATTTATATTTAGGGTGGATCCTCCCGCATCAGTTATCCTAATCTAGAAACTCCCTCACAGACATACCCAGAGATTTGTTTCTATGGTAACTTTAAATCCCATCAAATTGACAATCAAAATTAACTATCATAGTAAGGTGACTATTTCTTGTTTTAAAATCTAAATCTAAAAAGAAATCTAAAAAATCAAAATCGCTAAGCCTGGGCTATCTAGCTCTATTTGTGCAATGTATTTTGTGTATTTTTCTTAAGTTCTATAAGATGCATGTGTAGAACCGTCTAGGAAAGAAACTATGAAAGAGATCTATGTGAGGTTGACTAGAAAGCCTCTTAGAAACAAGTTCTGTGAGGGACTAGCAGAAGCAGATTGGGCAAAGGGAGGAGCTGAACTATGAGGTAATTAGGACAGAAGTCTCAGAAGGCTATATAGGGAATCAAGAAGTTGGAGAAGCCCCTCAGGATTCCCTTGGTTACATCTTGTCTGCAAGGAGAGTGTGTAACCTTGCACAAGGAACCTACCTTTGAGCACAATTTCTTATGAGGAATTGAACTGTGAGTTTCAGTAGCCATGGCTCTTGAAAGCTGGGGGAATATGTTTCTTGATTTTGAACATGGGAATGTGGCTGATACTCTAGCATTGACTACAGCTTAGATTTTCTTTTATAGTATTGAAGTAAACAACTTCTTCACTGTGCCATCGAAGGTATTCACCTTTTTCTCCACTTCTTTTGCTTGGGATTCATCCAGTTTTCCTTCTTGAGCATTTTCCTCCAGCTACTTATCAATTTGTTTTAGGCCAACTTAAGTTTTCTGTATTTCTCCTTTTTTTTTTTTTTGTTGACTTGTAAGATGTATTCATTTTCTATTGCTCCTATATGAATTTCTACAAGCTTAATGGCTTAAAACAATACTATTTATGATGCCACGTTTCCATAGATCAGACATCTAAGTATAGTGTGGCTTACATCAGTTATCTGCTTAGGGTTTTGCAATCCTACTAAGGCATCAGGAAAGCTGTGCTCCTTTCTGAAAGCTTTGGGGGTGGATGTGTTTCCTGATTTGTTCAGGTTGTTGCCTCAAATCAGTTCCGTATTTTGCAGGATTGAGTGCTCAATTTTTTTTGAAGCTTGAGGACAGTGTTATTGGTGTTTAAAAGAAAAACAACAGGACAAGTTGTCTTGGTAGCTACCATGAACAGGATAAAGAGGAAGAAAGAAAACTATGCTGTTTGTAAGCATCATGAACTTGAATAATTCAAAACATTTTTTAGGATGCTGAGGGTTGTGCTAGCTCCCCTAGCTACAAAATGAAAGCCAAGAAAATTTGCATAATTACTGTGTATTCACTACCGTGTTTAAAGTTCAAGAATTATCTCAAGAATTTAAAAACTTA